TTCGCGGCAGGCCTAGGCGCCGACCCCCACCGCTCGGGCGGCCCAACAAGGGCGTGGGCGGGGCCACGACTGGGGCCTCCAGGTTGGCATCCATCTCTTCGGCCACGTAGCCGTAGGACGGCACGCGCGCTGCGTAGTTCCCTCCGTCAGTGCACGGGGCTCCGCGGCACAAGTGGAGCGTCTTCTCCTGTGACCCCCCCAACAGAGTCCTCAGCCTCGGCGTAGAACCGAGGACCACACTAGATTGCCACATGCACCCTGACCTCTTGGGCCCCATCCCCACACTCAGGAGCGGACGCTTCAGGCGGGCCGCAGCATCGCCGACCTTGATGACCAGGTGGCGCGCCTCCCCACCAGCGCCCCGCGCGCGCCACTGAGCGCAGAGAGTGTTGTCGACCTGGATCGAGGCACCTGCCCCCGCAACTCTGGCGCAGCCCCTTCCCCCTCTCTTCGCCCGTGGGTCGGGCCGTCGTAGGCAAACGGCAAAAGCCGAACACCCACAGCTCGGGAGACATGAACGTCGCTTCACGATCAGGCAGTCCATGGCGGCAGTCATCGAGCGCAGCCCATAGCCCACACCAACGACCTGGCCCACCATGAGCACAAGAAGCCCACCCCATGTCACGCAGGGCCAGTACTCTCCGAAGGCCACCCTCCCGACTGCGGTGAACGCTCCTCCGAGCAGCCCTCCCCCTCCTGCCCGGTGCCGTCGCCGCCCGACTGGACCCCGCAGGTCCCCGCCAGTTCTCCACCGGCTCCTTCTCCTCCTCGGCCCTCGCCGGTGGCGGGGTGGGGCGGCGAGAACGCGCGGGCTTGGGTCCTTCGCGTCGCCGCGTGAACCACCCTCCTCCACTGCCTGATACCTCCTCAACCTGCGGCGCCTGCTCTGAAGGCGCCGTCGCCTCCGCCTCAGGCGGCGGTGGGGGCGGGCACGCCCTGCCCGTGCCTCCCGACGGCTTTTCCGGGGCGGGGCTTGGGCGGCGCGCCCTGCCCTTTCCCGCTGCGGGCGGTCCAGAGCCAGGGCGCAGCTCCCCTCGGATCTCCGCGGCCGCCGGGCCCCCGCCCTGCCTCCGGGCAGGGGCCAACAGCTCCGCGGCGCTACCGTCCTCTTCGGCGCCTCCGGCCAGGCCGCGCGCCACCTCGCGCGGGTTGAAGGGCCCATCCTCGCCCCAGGCCTGCGGAGCAGCGGGCGTGGCGGCCTCGGTCCGTGAGAGCCACCGCCCAACCCCCGCGGCTGCCAGGGCTCCTGTAGGACCATGGGCAACGCCATCCTTGATCCTGATCTCTCCGCCCAGCAGCCCTGCTCGGCGCCGCGAGGCGCCGGCGCCTCTGCGCCCGCCTCATGCCCGTAGGCGACCAACGCCCTTCGGGCGGGCTCAGGTTTTCGGGCCTCAGCCTGCCCGCCCCCCCTGCCGGCGAGCTGCGCGGCAGGACCTCCGGCAGCTGCGGCCGCCGCCTCCGCGCCGATGGCCGGCGCGCGCTGCGTGGCGCCAGCCGCCCCCGGGGCCAGCACTGGGGCTCCTAACCGAGCATATTCTTTTTGGGCGGAGGGCAGAGGGTGAAATCTGACATGCCGTTTCGATTGATTTTCGAGGTTTGAACGGGCAAGAGGTGAATCGCGAGACGGATTGATTTCCGAGGTGCAAATCCCACATGGGTTTCACCCTGTGCCCCCCACCCTATGAAAATGTCCAGTCTAAGGCCCCGTGGACAACTCGAGCCCAGATGGACCGCGGAGAGGGAGAGAGAGAAGCAAGAGGAGAGACGGGGCACCCCCAGCCCGCCCCAGCCATTTGAAAACTCCACGTTCTGCTGCGCCCGAGCTTTCACAAGCGGGCCTGCCAGCCAACGGGGGGCCCTCGCACGGCGCGCGCTCCGCGGAGGGGCTCGCGAGCGCACGCCCGTGGCCATCAATGGCGGCGCCAGGCGGGGCGGCTCGCGCGGCGTCGTCTGCTCGCGCGCTGGCTCGGCGTCCGTGGAGGTCGGAGGCGCCGCGAGCTCGGCGAGGCCCTGGGCGGCAGCGCCCACGCCTGGAGCCCACTGTGCCCCCGCCGACGCGCAGGCCCGCCCGTCGCGCGCGCGTGGGCGAGGCGCCGGGCGCGGCCGCGCTGTTGAAGGGTTCGGCAGAGTCGGCTCGACTTCGCCGAGATACGGGAGATGCTGGACGCGGGCAACTGGGCCCGCCATGCGCCCCCGCTGGGTCCAGGCGCTGTCCCAGCGGCGTCGCGCGCATTGACTGCCCACGCGCCAGAGGTCCAGCTGCAACCCTCCTCGGGGGCGCGGCGGCAACGGCGGCGCAGGGCGCGCCGTCGCAGATCTGCCGAGGCGGCGGCGGCCGGCGCGGAACCCAGCGCGAGGACGCAGGCTCCACGGAGGAGCGGGGAAACGTCATCGGGCTCTCTCTGGGCGAGCCCGTGGATGCGCCTCTGCTACGCAGCGTGCAACCGCTGGAAGCCAGTTACCAGGAAGCGAGAAGCAAGCAGACGACGACGACGACGACGACGACGACGACGACGACGACGACGACGACGACGACGACGACGACGAACGCGCATGCGAGAGGCGAGGGCTGGCGGGGCGGGGCAAGCGGGCGGGCAAGCGGAAAAGGACAGAGGGAAGATAGCAAGCGCGACGCAGGCGGTGGCCGCGCTTTTACAACGCCCCATCGTCGAGTTTTCCCCCTCTGGGTGAGCGGGACCGAGGCCGCGCCCGCAGCAGAGCTGCTGACGGGGCTGCTGGTCGCCAAGCCGTCGCGCGTGGGTGACGAGCTGCTCGTGCTGGGCGCCCCCGCGCTGGCTGAGGCAAGGGAGCGGTTTGGCCACCGCGAGTGCGACGGCATGAAGTGCGATGCCGCAGCGCAGGTGTGGTCGTCGAGACGTGCGCGGAGGCGCTGCCTTCGCAGGCGCTGGCGGCAGGCGCCAGTGCACACGGCGCATGGGTGCCCGCAGGCTTGCAGGCAGTGCCGGGAAAAGGGCGAGCGGCGCAAGGCGGCGGCGCGTGCTCTTGTATCTTTGACGAGCCAGCTCGGGCGACCAGCCCAGACGCAAGTGCCCGGAGGCGCCGCCCGATTCGCCAGCGCCGCGAATTCGGACACGCCGCCCCCGGCGCAGCGCACGTCGTGCAGCAGGGGCAGGTCCTGCTCCCGCGCCCGCAGCCGCGCCCTCCACCCTGGGCATACACTCTCGAGCATCTCCGCCTGCGTCGTGGCGGTGGCGCCGCGCCAGAGACAGGGGACCTGGCCGCGCCGCACCGGAGACATCCCTGCTGCCGTTGTTGTCCCATCCCTCCTCCTAGTCATTGCGTGGTGATCGGTTCTCTCACATCAGACATCCAGTTTCGGCTGCCAGCAATGCAAATGATCGGGAATGCTTGCGTTTTGCACTGCATATTGCAGTTCGCTCGCACGCTGCTCTCTCTCTCTATATATATATGTACATATATATATATAGATATGTATGTATACATATATGATATATATATATATATATATATATATATGTACGTACATGTGTGTATATATATATATATGTATCGTGTGTAGTTTCGAGCTGGGCCATTTGCCACACGCATGACCCTCTTTCGAAGCACGCTTCGCGCATCTATGCCTAGTATTAGTACAACTGTTTTTTTCTCGGCGTTCTTCTCCTCATCCTTCTCCTCCTCCTCCTTCTCCTCCTCCTCCTCCTTCTCCTCCTCCTTCAAATCGTTCCACCAACTCCCCTGTCGTCAGGGTACACAATCATGTTCGCGGCCTCTGGGCGGGCATTCTGAGTCACGATGCCTCGTTTTCGTCCCTCGTCCTCCTCCCTTCCTCCTTCCCTTCCCGCCGCAGCAGATCTGAGCCATCGTGAAGGAGGGAAAGGCTGCAGCTGGAGTCCGGGAGGGTGAGATGGTGGCTTGGTTGGCAAGTTTATGACGAGAAGGTCTCGGTTGCATCTCGATTGGCCAGTGAGGACGGGCGCGCGGGGGCCGCACGCCCTAGTGGAAACGCCGCCCGACTGGGCGACGGCCAGGGCCCGTCCACGTTGCATTGATTGACGTCGCCCCCCCGAGACCTTTTTTATACTGAGTCTCATGCTCGTGGTTGTTGTTATTATTTGTCGTCGTTCGTTTTGTGATTTTCTCGTTGGTATTATTATGGCTCGCGGTATCATGCTTAGCCTTATTACTGTCAAAGTGTTTCGTTTGCGTCGTAGCAGCATTATTAGTACCCGTCGTCGTATCAATACTAGTGCCATGTAGTAGTATTGGTAGTATTGGTTGCATCCGTGTCAGTAGCATTTGAAGTATTAGTAATAGTAGTAGGAGCATTGTCATTCGTACGTGTATGTGTTAGTTGCATGATTCGTCATGTCGTCTCATTATGTGTATGATCATGATTATGTTTCTTATTGGTAAGCTGTTCCCGTGGTCTTGCTGTTTTGCTTAGTCACATCATGATTTGCAGCTGCCTTATTGGTCGTAATGCAAGCTTAGCGTTTCGTAGTAGTCGGTTCATTACTATATGTCTATAGTATTGCTTCTTATCGTTATACGTAGTATGTATATGGCTCGTGATATTCGACGTGTTATTACGAGTATGCTTATCATGTGTATTGTCGGGATGTTCCTCCGTATGTGTCCATCCTCGTCGTCTTATGGTTATGATAATACTATGTTTCTTAGTCGTAGCACCAGTAGTATTCTTATTGCTGTCCCTACTAGTCCCCCTCCTTTTCCTCTTCCTCTCTCTCTCCCCTTCCCTCCCTTCCCCTCCCCTCCCCCCATCGCCCCCTCCTTCCTTCCCTCCCTCCACCCTCCCTCCTTGGCATCCACATGTTACGCTTCTGACAGGCCCGTGGCCAAGCAAGAGTGCCGTTTTGTATGGTATAGGTTGGCCTCATGTTTTTGTTCGCAGTGTTGTGCAATCCTCCCTAGTGGGCATTCGATTCCGTCCCCCTCCTTCCACCTCCCTTCTTGGAAGTTTCCGCGCGCTCGCCCCTCCCCATCGGCTTCGGCAGGAGCAGTTGGCCCAGCCCGCGCCGTGCCCAGAGCCCGTGTCCTCCGTCCTGGCGCCTGCGAGGTCGAGGACCCCTGGCGCGCGCCACCGCGATGACCTCCTGCTCCTCCTTCAACGCCTCCAACGCATCAAGAAGACATAGGTCAGGCAGGCCACACCTCTCGCGTCCATTCCTCCAGGAGGAGGCCGAAGAAGAACACGACGAAGCAACAGCAGCACCCAGAACGAGCAGAAGCCAGCGACTAACGAACCTTGTCTCGTTCCTCGCCCTTCCTGTCTCCCTCCCTCCCTCCTTCCTGCGTCCTTGTTCCCCTCCTTCCTCCCTCCTCCTTCGTTCCTCCTCCTTCGTCCTCCTCCTCCTCCTCCTCCTACTACTACTACTCCTCCTCCTCCTCCTCCCGCTCCTCTATCTCATCCTCCTCGTCGCCCTCCGCCTCCTCTCCTTTTTCCTCACGTGCTCGTCCTCTCTCCCCCCCCCCCGCCCTCCCTGCGTCCCTCTTTCCTTCGTTCGTATTTCCTCCTCCTTCTCCTTCCCTCGCTCCTCCTCGCCCTCCTCCCTCTGCCGAAAGACGACGTTCCGTCGGACGGCAATTGTGGGCAATAAACGTAGGGGGGTCGAGGGCTGCAGGAAAGTGACCCTGAAGGGGCCTGGAATGCCACCGCGGACAGGCAAACATGTAAAGCGAAGCTCGTTTCTGCACCTCCTGTTGATTGCCCCACCCCGTTAACGAACATCCTTGCCGTCCTGTTCCGACCCCTCCTTTTTCCTCCCGCCTCGTTTTCCTTCCCGCCCCCCCTCCTTCATTATCCCTTCTCCTCGTTCTTCTCCCTCGTCCTGCTCCCTTCTGCTCTTCCTCCTCCTTCTGCCTCCCCCATGAGCCTTCCCTCCTTCCTCATTCTCTCTCCTGTGGCCGAGTCATTTGCACACCATTATATACATTGTTTGCGCCTTCTACATGGCCGTCTGGGATTTGGGCTCCAGGATGGCAGGCCTGGGAAATAACCATCCGGCACATCGAACGAAGCTTACAACGCGAGCATGTCCTCTTTTAGTGGTCGTGTCCTACGTGTTCGATGGATGGCCTTTGACGCTCAAAAACGCGGTGGTGTTCTTAGTTGAAGTCCTGAACTTGCAATATATTGCAATGTCGGGTCGTTCCCTTCTCTTTTGCACCGCGTGGTCAAGTATGCGCCCAGGATGTTTCGTCTGATTGTTCCTTCGTCATGAATGCGGTATGATTCCGCTTGCACACGCAATCACCCTGGCACAACCGCTAGATTTGTTTCCTTACGGTTATATGTCAGCCGCCGTTGCAGTTCGTCAGGTGCTCATCGGCGGGTTGCAGGCCAGACGTCCAACCGGCAAATGGGTTGGAGAGGGCATTGGCACCGTGCATTCACACATTTTGCATCGAGATGCGCGCAGGGCCCTGAGGCGCCTGTACGTACAAGATTGTTTGATGCGCGTACACAGCACAACAGCTCAGTTCGAGTTGCGCCGGTTGGTTTAACCCTGCGTGCTGGGATACAAACCATAACTCGATCAATGTGTGATGGGTCCGGGGGGGGGCAAAGGCAGCCTTCACGACCTCAGTCTCGACATCCCCGCAGCCGTCTGCAGTCTCCAAAGTGCTATCACCAATGGAGCTGCCAAAGCATAACTTTGCCTTAAGGGTTGTAGCGTGACCTCTTGAGGCGTCCACAAACATGGATGAAAGTGTAGCGAGGTTGCAGCAGTTTGAGCAGGCGGTCTGGCATGGAGACAACAAGGGAGGACCGGCCAACTCAAGCAAGAAGGCCAACTACCAGACGCAGCGAGCACAAGCAGTGGAGCAGGCACTCATGGCGGCCCAAGCCTGTCAGGAATTGGCCGATGGCGACGGGCCGCCAGCACACAGTCCGATGGACGCCAACAAACTGGTACACACGATCGTCGGGCAAGCCAAAGACGTTCCGAGGAGACAATATAAGCTGGCTCCAGTGGGGTATCATATCCGAGGGATACTCCATGGCCACCGACGGCGTGTTCGATCAGTTGTTGCAAACAGCTGAAAGCATGTGCAGCGCTTGAATAGACACCGCTGACCTGGACGACAACATCAAGACACAGCATAGCCATTGCACTGCATGCTAGCGCTGAGCACCGCCGACGACGCCAGCCGCAAAGTCAAGACCGTAGGCTAAGGCAAAGGCGCGGAAGCCCGGAGACTTTTGGCGTGGGAGTACGAACCAAACTCAGATCTGTGGTGTTCTAACAGATCTTGACATGAGAATCAGGAGGAGCTGATCACTATTGGGAAGGCCTTGCGGCTGGCGCCGCCGACCCCGAAGGGGGACGGCGACCACGACGGCGGCGTCGGCGACGACGACGACGCTGACGTGGGGCAGAGTCCTCAGTGATGCTTCGTGGGGCCTCCTCGGAGAGCGTTCGTAGTCCTCAGGGGGGAAGTTTTGGGGCATCTTGGGAACATGTGGGGGGCCTCTTGGGAGCCTCTCGGGGGTCCCTTCGGGTTTCCCGGGGGTCCTATTGGGGGCCTCTTGGGGCCTCGTGGGGGCCACTTGGGCCTCTTGGGGCCGCGTGGGCTTCTTGGGGCGAGGGTTCGAAAATCGTGTTCGGGCTCCCGCGTGGGCCTCTTAGGGCCGTTTCGGGTGCCTCTTGGGCCGTCTGGGAGGCGTCTAGGTCCGTTTTGGAGCCCTCTTGGATAGTTGTTGGGCCGTCTTGGAAACCTCTTGGGGGCCTCGTGTGCCGAAATTGGTGCCATTTTTAGCCGTTTTGGCGCGTCGGAAAACCAGAAAAGCGAGAACGGCAGACTCTTGCAACAACATTGAATAAAATCATGACATGTTGCCTGCTGGGGCCCTCTTGGCATGCTTCTGGGGGCCTTTTTTCGGGCGTCGTGGAAGCCGCTTAGGTTATCAGGAGGCCATCTCTGGCGTCCTGGACCGACCGTTCGGCTACTCAGGGCCCTCTTGAAACGTCTTGGGGGCCTTTTGGGCTGTCTTGAGGTTTCTTGGACCCCAGGACCCCCTCTGGGGAGGATGGCGTTCTGACCTGGGCCCCCCGCGGCACCGTCCCCCCACCCACACCACCGGGGGACAATAGATTAAAGGGAAGGGGTCAACTACGACGTTTCTCCGCTTCGCTTTTGTTTCGTTTTTGCTGGCCCGTTTGAGGAGGAGGGCCCAGTGAAAGGGGAGCGGTGACGGGCCCAGAGAAACGGAGTCAAGCGCGACGGCGACGACGACGACGACAAGGACGACGACAGCAAGGACGACGACAACGACGACGACGACGGCGTCGAGTCGAACACAACAGCGTCTTTCACACGCCGACAGGGTCGGCAGATGTGGGCATCAATGTATAAGTTTTCGACAGAGATATTCGGCGGCGCGAAGCACAAATCGGCATCGGCAAGTGACTTAACGACGACACCAGACACGCCACCCTAAGCCGAGGCATGAATGCGCGCAGACACCATGTCGACCAGAAGAAGAAGAAAAAAAATACTCCGACGGTAGGACCCTGCATGAGAATCTGTCTAGCTTCCCCTTAGCCCTTCCCTCCTCCCTCTGGCGGACACTCTCCTCTCGCCTTCTGCTCTTCCCTGTCCTCCTCCTTCTATTTATCATCACCCTTCCCCTCCTCTTCCTCCTCCTCCTCCACCTCCTCTTCATCATCACCTTCTCCACATACCCCTTCCCTCCTCCTCATCCTCTGCCTGCCTCTTCTCCATGTGCACCTCCCCGCCCCCCTGGTCGGGGCAAACAAATCGATGTTACCAAGGGGCTGCCCGGAGACAAGGGGTTACCCCTGCACCCGATTCGGCCGAGGATGGGTTACCACCCCCGGCCCGGACGCAAGGGGCTACCCCTGCGCCCGATTCGGCCGCCGATGGGTTAACACTGGCGGCCCGGAGACAAGGGGTTACTTTTTCCCCCGATTCGGCCGAGGATGAGTTATCACCCCCGGCCCAAACGCAAGGGGCTACCCCTGCGCCCGGCCGCCGCTTCGGCCGAGGATGGGTTACCACCCCCGGCCCGGACGCAAAGGTTTCCCCCTGCGCCCGGCCGCCGTCGTCCTCCTCAATTCCTGTTCCTCGTCCTCCTCCTCCTCCTCCTCCGCCTCCTCTTCCTCCTCCTCCTCCTCCTCCTCCTCCTCCCTGGCACCACGCATGTTGGAACAGCTCAATTGTTTTTCAGAACCGTTCGAGGTGACACGGTCTGTAGTGCAGGGTCTACGGAACGGCACGAGGTTCGCCAAATGCCTCACGGCGAATACGTGTCGGCGACTTTGCAATTCTTTTGGATCCCTTCGGCAACGTATCTGGATTGACGATATATCGCAAAGAGTGTCAGGGTCACGTGCTCATGTTAGGACGACGTTGATCAGAGGTGGCATTCAGACCGCCAAGGATTTCCAGAGACTTCATCTTGGCCTGGCGGACAAGAGCATCATCACTTGTTCGCATCATGCCGACGCAATCGCTGTTGTGAGGGCTTTGAAGCGCAAGGGCATTCACCTGCGCGCAGCTCTCCAGACGGCATATCGTGGGGTCGACCTCAGCAGTGGACGACGTCAAGGTCGAGCTACAGTACGGCAGCGGCAGCTGAAGTCGGGGCAGTCGCACGCTCGGCTACGGCGCTTCGCCCAAGCTGCTCGGCGCTGGCATGCGTCGGGCAAGCTGCAACGGGCTGGACCGCAAGCTGCAGCTGTCTACGGACATCAAGTCCACGGCCAATGCGGGTCGACGATGTTGGCCCAGCGTCGTCGGCTAGGAGCGGCTGCAGGATCGTCGAGGCGAGGGAGATGTTTGACGACGTTACTCTCACTTCGGCTGCCAGGGTGCGACCCAGGCCACCTGCTGCCCAAGCAATGTATTTCTCAATGGTTGAGTGTGTGGCTATCGGAGGTTGGGCTACGACGTTCTATCCAACTGGCCTGGCCTCGTGCGGTGGCGCACCTACGCTCTCTTCCCCAGGGCCAGCGCACACGGCACGTGCGCGGCCCCATGACCACGGTGATCTTTTATTTGCTTGAAGCAGGATGGTCGCCTAACTCTCCCACGGAC